TCCCCGCTGCTCCTCCTCCTCAGGGAGAGGGGCCCTTCCAGCCCTCCCCTGCCCCACCGCTGGGTCCCTCTCATGGCAGACAGCACTCCACCAACTGCTCCAACATGAGTCCTTCCCTCGGAGCTGCAGCTCCCCACGAACCACCCCTCCGCGGGCTGCAGGGGCTCAGCCTCCATCTTACCACGGGCGGTGGTGGAGCCTTCGCACAGCTCCCCCTCTGCTTCCTCACCGACCCGGGTGTCTGCAGGGCTGTTTCTCTCGCATCCCCCTCCTCTCCTCCGCTCACAAACACAGATAGATGAAGAAAGAACTCAATTAACAAGTTCTTTTATGCTTGGAGTTATTCACAGAGGCACCATTGGTCTGGCCTTGGCCAGAGGCGGGTCCGAATTTAAGGCAGGGGAGCTCCTCGAAGCCTCTTACAGGAGCCACCTCTGTGGCGTCTTCCCTGCTACCAAAACCCTACCAGACACCAAACCACCACAAGGTGTAACTTTATAACCCTCCCAAATCAAGTTCTGACCTGTTTGAATCCAGGGATCATAGCAAAGATTGCCAGACTAAAAACTGTGCAACTCCTGGGGCTGCGAAGGAGGAAGCACACCCTTGTGTACCTCCTGGGAGCCTGGGGTGAGAGAAATCTGGCCTCAAGCTGTTGGGATGCAGCAAACGACAGTGAGGCCTTCATCAGAAGGGTTAAAGACTTACACTAAGCAGAATAGGCAAAATGCAATCATGAAAACAAAGCTTTTACATGATGAAGATAAAACATGTGATTCCCAGAACAGATGTGGTTTTCAAAGAATATAATCCATCTAATGGAGAAAATGTATACTCCAGCACAAGTTTGTATACGTATACACAAGTATACACTGAACTGATTAAACACAATTCAGTTAGTTTATTCTAGTTCTGCTTTGTTACATGTGCAAATGGAAAAAATATGGCATCCGATAATAACAGGCAACTGAAAGAGAGCAGACATCAAAGGTTTTTTGAAGGCTGATAAAATATTTCCCTCTCCTAGAGAGCAGCTGATCCTTCAGTAAAGGACCAGACCCCTTGATTTAAATTCCAGATCCAGTTATAGGCCACAGTAACTCGTATTTCTTTGACTACAATGGACCTAAGGGATAACAGCCACAGATTCAGTCCTGATGAGAGAGTGACATGAAGAAGTTTTGAAACCTGTGGCCTGTTCCGCTGTCACTCACTCTAAATGTGTAATTCCCACAATTCAGTGAACTGCTTGTGGTTTTGGAATGAAGCAAGTAAAGATGAAGTTGTGAGAATAAGTGTTTTCATATAATTCAATGTACACTTTGCATAAGTGAAGAAAAGAAGGATTCTGCTGAAATATGTTACTACAATATTTCATTCATACAGTGTTTCATGCCTTGAATATGTTTTATTTGAATAGAGTTTATGTCCTATTTAAAATCACTAGTACAAAAATCCTGTGAAGGAGTTTCTTCCCTCTCTTCCCTTCAGTATTGCAATTGCCAGAAGAAGTTGTTAGACCTTCAGAGTGGACAACTTATTGGCCACAGTGGGTTGTCGCTACTGAGACACTTCGAGGGAAAAAATGAAAGGAATGGGTAGTTGTGATGTAGTTCTTAGAAAGGGACATCTGAGGAAAACCTTAATGAAGATTCAGGGCACTACTCTTAGGTCAACGACTAGAGTAAGGCTCATGTGTCCACCTTCAAGAGAGAAGATAAAAACCAGTAGTTTCTGAAAGATGGATCTTACTGATCTGCAAAAGCCAAACAATGCTACAGACCTATAGAGCCATGCCAAAACCTCAGCAGTCTCCCTAGCTCAGCAAAGTCCCAATACAGTTTTATTTCTGCCAAAGGCCAGTACTGACACGCTGCAGTGAGATTTCCTTATGGTTCACAGTTCAGTGGGCTATTCCTGTTACGAAGCACAACATATCCAAACAGCACATTGTTGTTAAAGCTAAAAAAATTTCATTGTATGGGAGTAGTTTATGGTCTTTGTCTAGGTGGCAGTTTTGGATGTAGTATACCCTGAATACGTGATGAGGCATAAAGCACACTATCGTTACCAAGATGAAGAAGAAACTCTTTGCCTGAGCCCTGAATTCCACATGGGAGTTGATGTCAGGCCAGTATTTCACAGCCAGTCTATAGATCACAGCCAACTGGATTATCGTGAGCACAGCACAAACTGCCAGCAAAATCCCAACCAAGCAGTAGTTTACAATCACCATGGGCACTTCTTGTATCTCCTTGTGAAACTGAAAGCATTCAGAGGAGTGGTATGTCTTAGAGGTGCCATAGTATGAGAGAAGAAGAGGTGTGATCACCAGCGCTCCCACCAGCCAGACAGCAGCCACCCAGGCTGTAGTGTAGCACTTCCTAACCTCGAGTCGGAAGAGGCGTATTATGATGATAACCACATAAAATGCGAAGGTGGTGTACATGTGGAGGTAGATGATGGCGCTTACTATCTTGCAGGCAAACCTCCCAAATTTCCATTCCTGTAAAATGTAATAGCTGAGGCGGAAGGGGATGCTGAGTAGCATAAAGGTGTGCAGCACCAGGAGGCTGATGATGATAATGGTCATCACAGATTTGGATCTTCTTTGAAACAACTGATGGGACATCATGATGACGCCGAGGGTGCCACCAGCCAGGTCAGTGATGTACAGGGCTATGAGAATGCTGCGGAGCCTCTCTGAGGTGTCCGGCAGCATCTCATTGGAGGAATGGTTCTGCTGAATTACACTGCTGTTAGACATCGTCCTAAAAGCTCCTCTTTTGAAGGTTACTGAAAGTGAGAAACGGAAATTTTTAAAATAGACACGTTTTCTTTGTTAACTATGGAATGGCACAGATTCCTGAGGGGCCATTTTACTGAACTGTGTGTGAAATTCTGTTATCCCATGTAGTATACAACCTTGTAACTATTGTCATACTGTATATGACAGCAATAACCTATGCCTCTCAGTGTTAAAACCATGTTTTATATAATTATGAGTTTTTAATTTACTCAACTGCATTCTGAGTTGGTTGGATTTTTTTATTTGCCTCTAGATTCAGCCATTTGAAATAGTTAAACTGTCGGCTTGTGGATTATACAAGTTTAATCTGCACTCAAGTTACAAAGCCAAAATTGTAGATGGGAAAAATACTGAAATGTGAAGAGGTGGAGAGGAAGACACCTGAGCCGTCTTTTTAGCATCTTGCTGGATGGTTGCAGGACACCCATAAGGCAGCAACAGTTTTGGTTTCTAGATGCATAGAGCACACTGAAAATAAAGATCTGCAGATGAACCTTCCAACCCCTTACATTCTGTGGAGGGGAAAAAAAAAAATCAATTTCTTCTTGCTTCAGCTCTGAGTCTTTTTGATACAGAATTTCACCTGAGCTACCCTACAATGAAAAGTGAAGAAAAGCTAAAAATTAATTTAGGAACAATCTTCTGAAAGGTATAATCCTATTGGCACTTGTTGAATGTAGCCACATACAGCTGCATTCTTATTTAGACTTAAGGCAAAATGTGGACTGTTCAGTTGTTTGGGCTTGCATACAGATTTCTGTACAAGTATATGAGGATAATTGCATGCAGGGCATATGCATACTTCAGTAATGAAATCTGTCATTACCTTACAAAGACTTTAAAAAGAACAAAGTGTGAGCTGAAAAATGGTTTCTTAAAAAAAGCAGTGTCTTCTCTCTCCAATTCCTTTGAAGTTTGAAATCAGTAAACTTGTTTTAATCAGCAATTCTTAATTCTGTTGCACTCATCTGTAAAATGATAGACTGCGACTGCAAAACATATTCAGAGGAACTTCTTATTTATGAAGCATCAGGCAAAGTGTCTTTAGAAGGCCATTGGAGTGTTGTGTCTGATAGAAAACTTTCTGTTCACTCCCTTTTAAAATGCATGATCTTAGAAGGATTTAAATGGTTAAAATTTGTATACCCACCTATTATTTCTGAGACAGGCATGAGAAATTTGCTTTCCTAGAAACTTTGCTATAAGAAGAGTTTTAAAGCTTTAAGAAGATGACTTTCTGCTCTTGACACAAACAAATTTTCCAATGTATATTGTTAATATTTCAAGCTGGCTTTAAGAAGATACAATCTTTTTGTTGTTATAAACAGCATAATTATAGTCTAGATGCCGACACTGTATATTACTCAGAAATAGACTGGTTTTTCACTATTTATAGAAATAAAATACTTAAAATTTTACCTTATAGTCTCTTATTTTTGTGACTTCCCCCTTCTTTGCCGTTTCATGCATCTATAGCATATGGCGTATATAACCAGTGTGAAAAACGAGCCTTTGGTGCTGCTGTTTGACCGAGAACGGTTGAGGGTTTTCTCAGCCCACATACAGGAAGGCACAAGCCTTTTTTCTTGCTTCGCTGCGATAGCAATCGCGTACATTCAACATCTAACACTGTTTTGGTCATGCAGGGAGAACTGCTAAAAAGCTGCTCAGCTGTCAGAGACCATTGTTGCGCTCCAACATATAGGACAGGCCCACCTGTCAGGACCCACAATTTGGTCAGCTGTAAAGCTCAGATGGGCAGTCATCCTCTGAGCTGTACAACTACTGTACATTACTGGGTTTTGCTACCAAGCAAGTAAGTGCCACTGATGAAGTGAAGAAATACGCAGTTGAGCAGAGGATTTTTCATTATAAATGCACTTTTCCCCCGAACTTGTTTTATGTTTAATAATTAAGCTAAATGTGCCAGAATAACAAAGTGTTTAGCAAAGTTAACAAAATATTTCACTGTAACGTGCTATTAGATCTTCAAGAATTCAGGATATTACTCACTATTTAAATGTTATAAATAAAATAAGCTTCAGACATATATGAAAAGTGACTTAATAGTTCCTGCCATTAAAAAAAGACTTGCAGAGGTCAGTGGCACTTGAAGATTATCCCTGAACTGCAGGCATGAATGCTGACCCCAAACCATATAATTAGTATAAGGTAGCTCACTAAAAAGAGGAAAGCATTGAGTCAGAGCTCTTCCAGAGATGTTAAAAAGCAGTTTCTTGACCAGAAATTAAACAGAAAAATGTTAGCCCAGTTTATTTTTCAATTAGAGTTCTACATCACGGTCAGAGTCATCAGTACTCAAACACTGTAGGACAACACACAAGGTTTTGTGAGCAATAACATAAAAACAACATTCCAGCAGGGCTGAACTAGCATTGTTCCTGCCATCGTGCAGCCACCCTCTGTTGTGGATGTGAGGATGGTTTCCACCAAAAGGCTTCTCTCCTAAGTACAGTCATTAGGAAGAACAAGATGTGAAAGAGAACTATGAGAAGTAAATAAATACAAAGACTCAAAAAACCCAAGGGTGCTGAAAGTCAGGGAGAGAACAGAAAAGTGTGCGAAGGGTGAGCAAGAATGTGGAGACAGCAGTTTGTGAGACATTCTTAGGATAAACTCTGAGAGCTTTGGGGGAGCCGTTACTATCTCATCTAGACCAGGATTCCGAACAGGAGGGGTGCCCATTTTGGAGACTGCATATACCCATGGGCTTGGGGTAAGAGAAATGTGCAATCACTCCAGCAGACAGAGCGCTGAAGAAAACAGCTACATGAATAATGGTACTCACGAGGTGTGGTTCCAGCATCGCTTAATCCCACATAAGGACAGACTGCTGCCTGGTGTGGTAGCAGTGATGTCTGAACGGCAAAATGATCTGCTGGTTCTGTAGAAACACACCGGAAGGTAGGGAACAGGTGAGACATCAATGGTTTTGATGGGTTAGAGTGATCATGAAACCACATCCACAGCCTCTGGGTAAAACAAGGAAATGCCAGCAGCCTTGCACACTGTCCACACGACCTGAAGTGACCCACAAAGCTTGAACCATCAAGTAATAATGCAGAAGTGACATTAGGAAATTGTATTCCTGAAATGGCTGCTATGTGGCAGCTGACACTCCAGACAGAGCCAAATCAGGCTATGAGATCAAGAGCTTTGCACACTCTGTTACCTTGTTGAGTCTAGTCTGAGCTCTTGGGATGTCAAGTGATGCCAAAAACCCTGCAGAGGTGTTGCATCGATAATTCTCTTGTCACCTTGGGGAGAGTGCCGTTGGCTGACACCAAAACTGCTGGGGGTCAGAAGCTGAATTTCTCAAAGCTGAGTCCCTTTGTTCTCAAAATGTTCCTTGAAGGTGCATATTGAAGCTCTTCAGTGTGTTCACCTTTCATCTTCACATTCTTCTGTTAAAACAAAAATAAAAATTACTCAACTCAACTCTGTAATCTAGGTCTTAAGTGTTTTAGGTTAGTTTCTCATTTGAGTACAAAAGGAAATTGAGTCACATCAGTCTGTTCAAATGAACTTTAGGATCTTGCTTTTGCTTCTTGCTTAATCAGCACATGGTTTGCCTTGAACAGTGCTCAGAGTAAAGGTTGAAAGAGAAATGCATGTATAGACATCAGAGATCCAGCATCACGAGACTAGCATCACAAACAGATTTTAAGGAAAGAAAGAACTGGGAACATCTGGTTCAACATTGGGGGAAACAGAAGATAAAGAAGGTTGAAGGTTTAAATTATTAAGAAGAGAAAATGGAGCAGAAGAAGAAGCAACAGTTGAGAGAAGAGGAACAAGGCCTGTTAGATGTTCAGAGATGGGATGTGACATGTGGAGGTGTCACTGACTGTGCCTATGCATGGGTGTAGCAGAGTTCCTTTAAGCAGGAGATCTACTGATCTGCAGTAGAACTCTAAGTTCTTGATTTCATTTCATTTCTGCATGATTTCCTCTGCTTTGTGTGTCACTGTGAGAAAATATTATATTTACTGGTCAGTGTAATAGCAACTAAGGCTTCACATACGAGCTTGAGAGCTCCTTTCTGTCTAGGAAAAACCATAAAACTGTGTTGCCTTGTGTCACTGAGTAGGTTTTCAATTTTAGCTGCTTCCAACCTAGGGTCATAATTGCTCATAATTTCAATTATTTATTAATATTAAACGCTCTATTGCTAGTTACTTGAAAGAACTGAGATATGTATAGGCCAGAATTATAAACAACAGTAAGACAGGGAATACCTGTGTTCTGTTTTAACACATTTTTTTCTGTGATTGCACATGCAATCAGAGTTCTTGCTGTCTCATTACCACTCCGTTAGACATGAATCATAGGTACTGGAAAGTGAGAAAATCATACTCCATGGTTAGTGAACTTACAGGATAATCCCTTTAACTTGCCAGTCCTACCCACCTATGCAGCAAAAAGAATCTAACAGCTTCAGTCACTAAATGGTCAACAAGGTTAGCAGGAGATTGGAGATTCTTGGACTAATCTATGTATTTGGTTGCAGATTTGCGGAAAAGTTTCTCAGGCTTTGTTTGTCAGGATGGAAGAGGCTATCTGGCTTCTCTGTTTATTAGAAATAATAATATATAGTTGCCTCAGTCATACCTACTTAATATGCCTTAGAAGTAGACATTATGCTTTATAAAAGTAGAAGTAAATTTATCAAAAAAATAGCATCTCTCCTGGGGTCTCTCTCTAGGCCTCAGGTTTCTTTTGGGTCCAAAGCACCCAGTTCTTCCTCTTTTCAGGAAGAGGTTGCAGGCCCCTTAAATGACAACAGTGATTACCCCAGCTGCTCTGACTTAACATCTAGGCCAGCACTTCTGCTCCTTCGAGTGTTATGATAGTGGTAAGTAGTGACCACAGCTTCCTTACAGAAGGGTGTTTCTTTACCAGAAACAAAAAATGGCCTTTAAGAGGAAAGACATTTA